TTGAAACTTCAAAAGTAAATTCAGCTGAAAGCTGTTAGTTGTTTCACTGGGGCTTTGCAAAACTATCTGGCATACCAAATTGTTCAGGTTTGAATGTTCTACATCAGAACATCATGTTTGTGTCAAACTGCCTCCTTACTCAGTATCGTCTAAAATTTTTATACCTCTTAGTAACCCAGTACATTTACAGCAGTAGTAAATGCGCTTGTGATTACTTACATGCACTTGTTATTTTTACGAAGCTCTGAGCATAGCTACATCTTCCTGTTTCAAGGCAGGTTAGTAATCCATTTTAATTGCTTCAGAGACTAAGTTCTCTGGAGCAGAGATGCAAAAGCAAGGAAAAGCAAGGTTTTTCAGACCTTCCACATGCTGAAGAACCATATCAAAATGCACACAGACATTGCACATGCTGTCACATTCCAACTGTCCAAATTCCTCTCCTTCCCATGTGATTTCATGGTAAATAAAAACACAGGATCTTAAGAGCAGTGACAGGATGAAGTTAAACCAGGTCTCCCATTTCACAAACTTTGGGACTTCCAATATAACAGGGAATTAAACTGACACACCTCTGAACTCCTTGTGTGGGTTCCCCCAGGAAAAAACGAAGGGGGGAGGGAGGGGAAGTAGTCTGGCTTAACAGTTTTCACTTGCAAAGCATTTGAAATTAAAACTTTTCCACAGCACTTCTCAAATCTAAATTCTGAGCTTCAAGACTCCCCTTGGATGTTTTAACATATCCAGAAACTGTTACAGCATATCAGAAAGCACACACTCAAGGCTTCCAGTTTAAGGGACATACTTAATCACTCATTTTGGGAGACCTGTGCTAGTATTGTACTGGTTCTCCCTTTTCTAGAACTGATACTCTAAGGCTGTAATGAAGCCTTTCAAAAACAGGTGAAATTCACATAACTATTTTTAATTTCATAAATATTTACTTTAGAGGCTTGGGGGGGAGGAGGAAGTGGAGTGGAGCAAACAATAGGGGACAACAGGGGAAATTAACAAGAACAAGAAGGAGGAAACCAACACACCATCAATCATAGAATAATTCAGGCTGAAAGGGATGCAGAAAGATCAGCAAGTCCAATTCTGCTTGAAATTGAATGAAAATAATATCTAAATTATCTTGCAGTACTTTAATTTTCAAATTCTCCTTCAAAATGACTAGCACACTAAAACCACAAGATATATACATTATATCAACTGATTCAATACAAAAGCCAAGATCACCCATCACGTGAAATAAATCAATGAAGCTATTACCTACTGTCATGGTTTAAGCCCAGCTCAACCCAGGACACCTACTCACTCATACTTCTCAGAGAAGAAAAAAAAGACATGTAATTCCACAATTCAGAAACATGGGTAAGAACTTTTTCTAGTTGTATCAGTTGGGTGGTTTGAAAGAGATAAGCAGCTACAGCTAGGAAATGTCACTACTCCATCCCAATTATCGCAGACATCAAGACTGCAAATACAACCACGAGATAGTAATTAGTTAATAGTTTTATTTTTTCTCTATCTGGTTTTTAGAAGTCTGACAGTCTTGGTGACTTGTTAGAATACACTGCAAATAAATCTGCAGCTGGCGCAAGCTGCATTTAGCTTGCCAGCAGACATCTCCCTTTTAAACCACGAGAAAACACTAATGGTTGTATGTACAATCAACTTGTCAAGAGCTGTATAAACTGATTTCATACTAGACGAGGTGCATATTGCCTGTAAAAACAACCTTTCTTGATACCCAAAATCCCACGTTTAAAAAAAGTTATTAAACTTAAGCCTACTTTGAAAAATTTAGCCAAAATGCAGTGAATACACTTGAGTTTACCACTTTTTTAACGAGATCATTTACAGCAAGTTATAAACTTACAATAATTCAAGTCTGCAACAGTCACATATAGCAATAAAACAAATCAAATTTTACTTTCAGGACAATTTCTCAGGAATCAGCGAATTCCGACCTGTGAGTAGTGGAGACCTCATTTCCATCATCCCGGCTGAAGGGCCGGCTAAAGCACGTGGCTGCGGAGTCACTGGCGCAGGTAAATCACCCATCAGGAATCCAGGAAGAAACTGAGCACTAGTTCCAGGTTTTGGAGATGTCGGGGAGCCGAGAGTCATCGGCTCAGCTCCTGTGTTAATGAAAGCAAAGATGAGAAGCATGGATGGCGCCAAGTCACTTAGCCTTTTCCACTGCTTCAACAATGGTTTTATTAAAGAAATATAAAACAATACGCAGTAAATGTCTAAGTTCTAAACATTTATTTTCCAAGCGAGCAAAGTTTATAACAACCCCACGCTGTTTCCAACTACAAGAACTGATACGGCGAGAGCTTTGTTCTTAAAATATGCTTTGGTTACGGCTGGATTTCTGGGCTGAGAAAAATTGCGGGTTTGGCGTTGCTTCAGGAGTGCTTCCAATGTAAAAGCAATGAGGGCACGGCCGGGTCCTGCTCCGTCCCCGCCCGGCAAAACGTGCTCCGACACGGCACCGCGGCTTCCCGGCAGCCCTGCCGCCACCCGGCCCCGGCTGCATGGTTAAGCCTCACGCCCCCTTTTCGCGTTCCCTTCGAGGAAGAAGAGCACCCTGGTCCCATCCCCCATGACCCACGTCAGCCCAGCAGCGTCTGGCCCTCACCACCTCATCAGGCCGCAGGGGCACAGGCACCCTAACAGGAAGAGACAGGCAACGGCCACCTGAGGCGCCTTGCGCCGCCCAACAGCCGAAAGCATGGCACGGCGGCGGGAAGGGGGAACGGAGGGGCGGCCCCACTCACCTGCCGGCGGCAGCTCCATGGTGAAGGAAACCACCGTACACCCAAGCGATGAGAAAAGAGTAGCACCTGCTCCGCCAGGCGATTTCAAACGCGACGGAACTTCCGCCCGCCGGCACTTCCGACCCGCCCCCCCGCCATCTTATGAGCGGCGCCGCGGGCGGGAAAGGTTTTACTTTTTTGCAGGCAGGCAGGCAGGCGGCTGGCGGGCGGGGGTGGGCCATGCGGTGGTAGTTACACAGCTGAACACAGTCGTAGCAGTCGTTACAAGCGCTTCTCTTTGGTTATTCCTACGGGCTGAGAACTCACAAACCTGCCGCTGAGGCGAGGCGGGAAAGCTTACGTGTCAGGGGAAGGACCGTCAGCCACATCCATGGTTGACAGCACAGAACCATGCACAGAGCCAAGGAGGCACAAAAGCACAAAATGTCATCAGTTCTAAGTGTGAAATACGAACTTACTCCTCTAAACAAGATAACAAGGTTTTATTGAGGGACAAAGTCAACAAAGCAACAGCGCTGGGCGCATGACTGTAGCCAGAGGTGCAAGTGATTAGCATTTGTTACAGGTTTATATACTTCCACTATTAGTTACATACATATTCATAATTCCCTCATGTACGCGGGGACTATTATAACTAACTCCCGGAATTTATTATCCTAAGTCTCCTTGGCGTCTGCGCACTGCTCTGGTGATTGTGGGCAGGGGTCTTGAGGATGAAGTAAAGAGTCTTCCTCTTGTGAGTAGGCGTCTTGAGGATGAAGTAAGCAGTCTTCTTCACAGTGTACTTTTCACCTTTGGCACAGTTGGACCCCCCAGTAATCACACAACCAGCTATATCTGTAATTATTCTGATAACTAGCAAAGATTTAGAACTGTGTGCTCTTCCTGCAAAATTTATTGCAGGATGGGCAGACAAGGAGTCTCCCAAGCTAGCAGATGTTTGGGAGGCTCTGCCTCTAACTGATAAGTAGAAGGATGGTGTGAAATAACTCATTTAGTGGGGCCACTAAATCCTGTTATCTCACAGGATATGGACTTAATAACACAAACATTGTTCTTTAAAGCTAAAGGTACTTTAGAAGGATGGTGTGAAGCAATTAACTACACTACATTCCACAGACTTACAACATAAACGTTTTCTTTCTACAACCTAAGTTAAGCTAAAAGGTGAAAAGTATACTGTGAGGAAGACTGCTTACTTCATCCTGAAGACCCCCTACTCACAAGAGGAAGACTGCTTACTTCATCCTCAAGACCCCTGCCCACAATCACCGCAAAGCAATGTGCAGATGCCAAGAGGAGGAGACTTATGACAATAAGTTCCTGGAGCTAGTTATAATATCATCATCATCCCCCCCCCCCCGCCTATACGTGGGAATTAGGAATATGTATGTGACTAATGCAATAGTGAAAGTATATAAACCTGTAACAAATACTAATCACTTGTGCCTCTGGCTACGGTCATGCGCCCAGCGCTGTTGCTTCTGCTTTATTGACTTTGTCCCTCAATAAAACCTTGTTATCTTGTTTAGAGGAATGAGTTTGTATTTCACATAATGAAAGCATGCCTAACAAATCACTTCAGTACAAAAAAAATCCAGACACAGTGTTCTTTTTAATTTATTGCATATTAATATATCAAATAATTTGGAACTGGCATAAAGGCCATAAAAATATTAGCATATTTTACAGATACATTAAAACAAAATAAAACCATGCCATCTTAATACAGTAATTCCAGCCCAAGACCTGTCAGGAGGATCAACAGTACCAATGCTATGATGTCTGTTCTTTATATTGGATATAAAATGGAGTGAGGGAACGCAAATTAATCACAGCATTACAGAATCCAGACTGGTTTGGGTTGGAAGGGACCTTAAAGCTCATCCAGTTCCAACCCCTGCCATGGGCAGGGACACCTTCCATTAGACCAGGTTGCTCCAAGCCCATCCAACCTGGCATGAAGATCAAATGCAAAGAAAAGGTAGTAGCAGTGAGTCAGAGATAGGTCATTATAAACACATTTTGTATCTCCACCAAAATAATCCACTAAAAATCCCTGATAGCCTGGTGCGGGCACTGATGAGAAAAAGACATGAAGCATTAAAGCATCCTACATATTTTGAGCATACTCAAAAGGCTATCTGTTTTAATTTCTAAAAACATTTAATGGTTACACAAAATTTAATTAAATACTCTTTAGTTGTAGTATAAATTTAAAATCCAGTATCAAGGTACTTTATAGTATCAACATTTTATTATCTAGCTTTTACAACCAACTACAGTGCAGACATTTGGTTTAGTATTAAAGTGAACAGGACAACTTATCTCAGTTATTTTATTTCCTTTCTCTATTTCTTGCATTTTATGACGGGGTTGGAACTAGATGATCTTAAGGTCCTTTCCAACCCAAATTGTTCTATGATTCTATGGTCAAATAAAAAACAAAAACAACAACAACAACAAAAAAAAAAAAAAAAACACAAAACAACCAAAACCATAATTCTGGGTTGTTTTTTTCTAATATTTCAAGGAAAATTGAACTTTGTCTTTTTATTAGTACTCAATGCAGAGCTTGTTCTTGCCCAAAATCACCTCTGAAGTCAGTGGAATACCATTTGGCTTTCAGACTACATGGTGAAAAAAAAGGGGTCAAAGTGGGGTAAGAAAAAACCTAAGTATGTAAAGACTTTAAAATCCATATGTGAAAGTGAACTGCAAAATGACATATAAAAGCACATCCAACATATGTTACTGTATAGTCAAAGCAGATTGTTTTGCTTCTCCCTTTTGATCAGTTGTGATCATTTATGCTTCCATTTGCCTTTATATTCTGTTCCTGGTACTTGTGTAGCTGCTCCATGAAGCCGGGATTTGGACAAGCCACAGGTCTTGCACTTTTCACCAAGGAAAAGGCTCTAGCAAAAGTCAGTCTTTCTGAATTCATTAGGAAACCAATGACTACTGCTGCTGCACGGGAGACTCCTGCATTACAGTGGACCAGCACCACACCATCCTTCAAGAAACAAATGAAACATAAGCTGGAATATTCATTAAACAGATAGCAACAAGTATTAGAAACAATATTTAAAGGTCTATTTAGACCTACTAAAAGCTCCTGGCTGAGCTCAGAGCAAATATTTACACACACCAAACACAAATATACAAGCCCCAAAATAAGTATTTTTCTAACCAAAGCCACTTTATAATTACCCAATACTTCAAATCTAATTCATAACTTAGAACTAAAAAAACATTCCTCTGTGCCTTTCCCCAGGACCTTGCAGCAGCCCCCTCATGTAAAAGGCAAACTGCAGACAGCTGGGATACTAAGATACCTGATGTAACTGACTGCCAATTTTAAAATAATGCCATTAGCAATAAGGAAAGAAACTTGACTTTTTTGTTACCAGGTTAAAAACATGGCAAGGCAGCACATAGCTAGGAACAGAGGCAGATTTTAGAACATCTTGTAGTTTCATGCTTCTTGAATACTCTGAAGCTCTTCAGTGAAGGTTCTGGATAAACAGGATCATGCATAGGAACAGAAATATCAGAAAAGATAGGGTGTAACTTGCAACAAATATCTACCTCCCAGTCACACTGCTGGTACACTGTAGCAACTGGTACAACTAGGGTCCTTTTAACTGAGGGCCAAGGTGCAGAATCCAAAACTACTGAACCTCCCACAAATTCACAAATGTTTCTCCTGGGGTTCTCATGAATTATCATGAATTATTCAGACTTCTCATGAATTATCTATAAAATTAATGGATTTATCTTCAGCATTTCTCACACAATCTTTGAGACAGCTGAATGACTCTAGAAAGGCAGTGCAAGTGTCTTCATTAAGAAATAATGGGTCTGAGTTAACCCAAAGACAGTAAGACTGACCTAGTGTGGCTTAGGTGACATTTCCAATGCCCAGGCTTCATGTCTGTACATCAGATCGTGTCCTGGAAAAGGCCTGGCCCAAACTGTCTGCAAATGCCTCTCTCACAATAAAAATCCCCCAAGCCCCTAGCACATCCATATTCTGAAGAAAGATACTGAAACATGACAAAATGTGCTCAGACACTTGAGGCTAAACATATATATTCAAGATACAAATAGCCTGCTCTGTCTGCCCTAACAGGCAGAAATTATTCATAGGGCATTTTACCCAGAGGTAAAAGAGACCTTATAACCACCAGGGTTTCTCTCTAGGAACTTGATGGGTTATGTTACAGACTGAGGAGTTGCAATTATCTGGTATATTAACAAACACACAGAGCAGAAAATGGTTCCTGCTCCAAAATGTTTTCCATTTAAATACTAACACAAAAAAAAGTAAGAAATTGAGTGTTAATATCCTTGTTGAAGGAATGCCAAGCTGAGACTAGAAGAATGACTTGCTCAAGTTAACACTATAAGATTATGGCAGAGCTAGGAGCTGAATTTAAACTCCTGCACCCCAGCACAATGAATGACAGTACCACCCTTTTTTGCAATGGAAATCACATCCCGTTTGCACTGCCTGCTGGAAACTGTTAACAATCATTCCCCTTCTTACATTCACAGGGGCATGCTTCCCAGTCACAGACTACAGCAGAGCAGACAACAGACTCATACATGTTATTTCAACTACCTGAGGAAGTGCTGGTGGTGACGTGTAAATCTACTATCTCCTTTATAATAAGGACATGAAAATGATGACATTAAAAATTGTATTTATGCCACTGCTAATGAAGCAAATTATGAGGCTTATCCACTGTAGGTCTGGAGTAGTTTTTACTGATCTAATGGAAGTTATTTCAGACATACCATAATCAAAATCAATTATCTACCAGTGGCACTCAGGGTAAAAAATAAGCACCAAAAGTGATTATTTTTCATTTCACAGTTCATGCTCTATTCTCCTCTTTCACATTTCTTTTAAGGTTGTTTTGTTTGTTTGGGGTTTGACTGTTCTGTTGTACATTGCCATCCTGGGTTCAGCAGCAGTAGTCAATTTTCTCCTTAGTAGCTGGGGCAGTGCTCTGTTTTTCAACTTTAGCCTGAAAACAATGCTGACAAATACACCTATGTTTTTACTTGTTGCTAAGTAATGTTTACTGCAATCAAGGACTTTTCAGTCTCATGTTCTGCCAGTGAGGAGGGGCACAGGAAGCCAGGAGGAAGCAGAGACCAAAACTAGCCAAAGAAGTATTCCATACCACAGCACATCAAGCCCAGTATATAAACTGGGGGGAGTTACTGGAAGGCCCAGATCACTGCTCGCGTTGGGCTGGGTATCGGTCAGTGGGTGGTGAGCAACTGTGTTGTGCATTGCTTGTGTTTACTGGTTTCTTTTCCTTTTTCCCTTTTAGTTTTATATTCTCTCCCCTTGTTATTCCCCTTGTCATTATTATTGGTGGTAGCAGTAGTAGATTTTTATTGTACCTTAGTTACTGGACTGTTCTTGTCTCAACCAGTGGGATTTACATTCTTTGGATTCTTCTCCCCATCCCTCTGGGAGCAGGAGGGGAAAAAAGGGGGGGGAATGAGCAAGCAGCTGCGTGGTTCTGAGTTACCAGCTTGGCTTAAAACATGAAAATTGCCAAAAATTATATAGTGATATCCATGCAACAGACCTCAAAATTACTGAACATGAATGAACATGGGCAACAACAAAATCAAATTTAATACTGAAAACATTTATCTTCCTTTGATAAACTCTGTTGTTTCTTTATACAAAGATTAATTTGGCACGTAATTCTTAACTAATTTTGTATTAGATGTTAATACAATATAAAATTGAAAAACAGATTGAAAGTATGTCATCAATCTATTTACTGGGAACTCCTTGCTGTGATCCATTTAGCCTAATCTTTGCCTACCCAGAAATTGTCCATGGTCTTGCAAGAACTTCTGAAGATTCAAGACCAAGGGGGTTTTTAACAATTTTTATACAGAGGAAAGCAAAATCAGCTTCCACCAAGAGAAAAGTTATTATACAGTGATTATACACAGTGAGCAAAAAGCCTCACCACGGAAAGAAATTAAAAAAAAAAAGGATAAAACTTTTGGTGAAGAGCCATAAACTAATGTAGTTCCTTAGGGATCCACTTTACAGTGGTGCTAGGGCTTTTTCTTTAGGAGGGAGAGAGGGAGCAATAAGGAGAGATGTTCATGAATGAGCCAAGATCTCTTCCCTGGAAGAACAAGATTTTAGAGGTTTTATAATTTGATATTAAACAGAAAGATAAAAAAGAAATCCTTTATTCACAGCACTGTGATCTGACATGGGTAATGGAAAATCTGCCTGCCAGTTTGGAGCCTAGAAGGTGAGCTCTGATCAGTATCAGAATTTTACCATGATGTGTACATACTTTAGCAGTTACCATTTTAGTAAAAGTCAATCCTATTACAACTACCAGCTGGCAGTGACTTACTCAACAGTACAGTCTATATTTGCATTCTCAAATTCAAGTGCTCACATACTCCTTCAATAAGTTAATGATGTTCTAGTAATGATTTCTCATATATCATGTTCTCTCATCAGTGAGCACCTCTCCCTCCCCCATATAAGGAAATGAAACAGTAGTAGCTCTTCATGATTACTTGAAGAGCACTTCATGATATAATTTCTCATAAGATCTTTTAACACTATTTTAACAAAGCAAATAAAGTGATTCAAACCATCCAGAAATCCATATCCACATACTACTGTTACATGCTTTGTGAAGTGATCCTGGAAGCCATCTATTCCATCAATTACCTGCTCTTTCACCCAACTCTCCCATTAGAAAACTATTAACATTGCTATAAAACTTTTCAGGAAAACTACATAGCTTACAAAATAGTAACTGGAAAACAAGCATCAGAGGCAGAAGGCAACACTACGCAGTTATGAATGGCAAGTCCCATTTTGAAATGAAGTTGAAACCGTAACTAGAAACCTTGAAGAGGTCATTAAGTGACAATGTGGATCACATAGCTTGTAAATAATAAATGAAAGAAGGAAAGAACATTGTGTGACACCAAGAAAGCTGGGACAAGATTATCTGCTTTTATCCACACCTACATAAATAATGAATATGGTAGATATGGTGGAATAACATGCAATAAGGTTTGGTTGTCAAGTCATAGTTTTGATACCAAAGCAACAGTTGTCACAAATTACACAGTGAGCTGGAATTTAACAAATAGAAGTCAGGGATGGTCTTAGGAATAGACAAGTCTGCCAAGCAACCCCAGAAGGAGTGCCTTCACCCCATTCCCTAGGTCATGTCTTTTGTTAGCAGTTAAATCCCAGACTGGCTCCAAGACTACTTAACATTCTCTGACAGTCTTGGTATGTAATTGTATGTGGATTCACAACTCGATGGATGATCCAGGGGAAAGCACAAGAATGGCAGACTACTGCTGACAAACCACACAGATATGTAAAAGCCCTGTCAGGCTTGCTTCTACTTCAAAACAACATCCCCGATGGACAGATAGAAAGTCACGTTTCATCTTTTTCCTCTGTCAGATGCAGTGACTTGGACTTAGATTGTGATTTCTTTATCTAAAGTCAGCCATTGGTACTACTGTATTAAGGAAGCATTTCTCTAAAACATGTAAGACAGTCATCCTGAAAAAACAGTGCTGGAGAGAATGGGGGTTAAAGCAGTGCCACATCTCTACAAATGCTTAGAAATTGCTTAGATTCTCAATTTAAAATTTAAAAAGGCAGTGGCAAAACTATGATTTTGGTACCATACTTTTTTTTGACAAAAGAAGCTGCTTTAGATTTTAAACAGTGTAATAAATAATCCAAACACGATAACTACTAACATCAATAATTGATATACCGTACCTGTATCTTGGCTTTCTCAATAAACTCAAAACACTCTGGGAAATAAGAGATAATATCAGTTTCTGGGAGGTCCAGAATAGAAATGGTCTTGTATATAAAGTCATCAAGGAAGGCATTTTGCACTCCATATGCCACATTTAGAACATGAGTAACCTGAGTCAAAAAAGGAAAAAAAAAAACAAAACAAAACAGAAATGGGCATTTTCTGATGATAGCAGGCAAAATGAGCAATAGCAGAGATGAATTCTTCTTAAGGCATACACAGACTGTACCTTACGCAACTGCAATGTTCAGTTTTACATACATATGCTGTCTATGGTATGCTTTTCTCCATGCAAAGTTTTAATGCACGTTAACATATACTATGATAAATTTCAGTTTCTTTGGGGTTTTGAGAGGAAATTAAAAGATTTGCCCTCACCCAAACACAGACTAAAGTACGGATTTTCAACAGAAAAGGGAGTTCTCAACACACAGGTGGAAAATAGAAAGCAACAGGAATGAGAGCATGGACCACCCAGCAGTCACCCAGATCTCAAGCCTGCCCTAACCCATCAGCTTCAGGCTTTCTGCTGAGGAACTAACCAGTACTTGCCAGTGCAGCAGAAGGATTTCAGAGTAAACTATACCTGCGCTTGTCAGGTGAGACCACCTCTGGCCTCCTGTCATCTTTGCCCTGTTCAGGCTACGGCCAGGTCGTGGGTTATTTTAACTTACAATGAAGTGACACTTAGATGGCACCAGATGCCAGACTGGTGCACACTCCCTCTCCTGCAGAAGCAGCACTGTCCGAAGGCCTTATCACCCCGTTACTGTAACACAGAAGAGTAAGAAGTCCAAAGTTCAGGACAGACTTAGAGCTGCTGCTTTGTTTTCCTTCTTTCACCCCGCCCCACAAGGCAGGGAGGCCTGACACTGCTCGGTGTCCGGAGCTGAAACGCCTGCCGTTAAACATCTCTGAACAGTCAACACTCTTGCAGCAAAGTATTCCTGCTTCTGGTGAAGCTCGTAGGCATCCATATCCCTGCAAAGCAGCAGCCTTTTAAAAATTAAAATGTAATATAATTTTTCTTAGGGATATTTCAGACTTTTTAACGTAAACGCACCAACAAGCACTACGCGAGAGGCGTTTCGACTTCCGTGTTACGTTACCTTATGCTTTTTCATCGTCTCCAGGTCGTGAGCAGCATCCTGCGACCCTGGGAAGAAAGCGCGCCGGTCGCTACGCCAAACCACACCGGCAGGCCCTCGGGCTCGCTCCCCGCAGCGAGCGCTGGCTCGTCGGGGCAAACGAGCGGCGGGCCCCGGACCGCGGCCCGGTCAGGAGGGACGAGGCGCGCAGCCACCGCCCCCCGGCCGCACTCACCCAGCAGCAGCCAGGGCTTTACGACGCCGACCTGCAGGTCGGCGCTGAGGTCCTGCACATAGCCGCTACCGCCGGGCGCCGCCACCGCCTCCTCCTCCTCCACCTGTAAGCAGGCTCCACGCCACGTCTCGATGATCCTCCTGCCGGTCAGCGTCGTTACGCGGGTGCGTTGCTTACGCAGGTTGTCTCTGGAGAAGCTGCGGATTTCCTGGGCAAGGGAGTGCATAGCCCAGGCACAGCCGTTCACCCGCGACTGACCGCACGTTACCGCATAGACCGAGCAGAACCAGCCTCCAGGCCCCCTGCCAGGCGAGCCGCGATTGGTAGAGCGCGGGCAGCCCCCATTGGCTGCCGGCCTCTCGGGGGCGGTGCCTCGGCGCGCAGGGGCTGGGAGCGCAGTGAAGGGGCAGTGGCGAGGGTGTAGGTATAGGTCTATCGGTGCCAGTCTCCGTCCCCGTCCCCGTCCCCGTCCCCGTCCCCGTCCCCGTCCCCGTCCCGTCCGCATTTGCTCATGCCCTCGGAGCTGCCGGTGTGCCACAGAACTCCCTGCGAGGCGCTGGGGCCGCCCTCGAGTGCGGTCTTGTTTGTGGTGGGGTCAGTCGCAGATTTGTCACTGATTTTTGTTTAGCACTTACAAGCCTGGGAGAAAGTTTTGGGTTCAGCTAAAGCTTTGGGAGGGGGTAAATTTATATTTTTAAATTATTATTTCTAGGGGTTTGGTGTGCCAGCGAAGAACGTAGCAGATACCATTAAAGCAGCATAGGAATAAAAAGGAGGCAAGGTGAGCCTGTTTTTCCTTTATTCCCCAGCCACTGAATGTCCACGTTTACATGTGTTCTCTATAAAGTGCTGTTTGTAGTGTTAACGCAGCTAGCATATGAGTATGGAAAATTTTTGTTTGTGGAGTAGAAAGGTAATGCTGTTAAATCATGCCTTAAATATAATCTGAATTAAATACAAATTGTAACAAATACATGCTGGGGGATTTAGATTCCTTCATGCTGGTTTTGGAATAAAGATGTGTTACTACAGTACATCCCCTCTGATGTTATAATATTCCTCAAAGCTGTGCTGGCAGGGTATGATGACTGTGAAAAGATCTTGTGATAATTTCTAGAACGCAGTACAGCACAAAGGCACCTTAGTTCCATGTAAAGAGGTCTGCAGATGCATTGTCAATTTGAGAAGCAGCGATGTTAGGAACGGCAAGAGCAAAAGTTTTTCCAGGAATGCCAGAGACAGTCTTCTGATGGGAATTAGACAAAAAATCAAGTTCAAATGAAAAAGGCAGAATACCTTACACACTGCCTGGAAAAGCAGGAGTCTAAACCAAGAGATAAAATCAAGGAAGATGCTTAGGGCAGGGGGAGGAACAGAACAGAGATGTTGGCTGAATCAGAGATTGAAGTAGCAAAGGTGCAAGACAAGCTCCAGGACAAAACGTGATTCTCAGTAATCACTTTCTGCAACAAAAATGAAATTTTAAATACAAGTAGGCATTCTTGTAACTTTCTTTATGGTAGATGTGTACTCAGTAGCCTTTATGAAAGTGGACTGTGGCTCTTAGCAGTTAAAACAATGTAAAGTTAAACCAAGTTTAAGAAGTTTTTGGAAATGTCTAATCAATAATTTTGATGTAGTTGATCCCAAGAAAGCAACAGAGAGCTTTAGGTCCATGTTAAGACAGCAACTGCATAGAATTTTATGGCTGGTTTTCAGCCTGCATTGGCTTGCTACTGCTGCCTGTGGGAAAAAACAAGAAAAGCTGGTATCCTGTGGGAATGAAGGGAGCCTCATGTGCCAGGAAACTGGCAAGGCCTGAGCAGAACTGGCTTGCAGTCCAGGCCCAGAAGGCTGTCTAGAGTAGCAAGGCTGTGGGATGTGCTTTTTAACCAGCTTCTGTCCTGTACAAGAATGGGGGGTATGTGTGAGTGTTTGCAAGACTAAGCTGTGACAGATCTGTAAAATGCTTACCATTGAAGGTAATAATACAACTATCTGTTGTTCCTTAACCTCTGAGGAAGAGTCTGCAATATGTGTGGACAGAGAAAGGCAGCTGATCCCGAAGTAGTAGATTCATTCTCTGTTAGGAATGTTTATCATTGTTACAACTACCTTAAAAGCTAGGGGTCCCTGCTGGACCTGAAATCTGTACTACTGTTATCTCTGAAATCCAAGTATTCTGTAGATGTTTATATGCAGAGTTAGTACATTATTATTAGTGTGTCCATATCACAAGTATTAGATCTAGCCTGAATAGTCAGACACTTTTTTTGTGATACAGGCATTTACATGCTACTGTTAAATTGTTCATACTTTCCATCACAAGATGGAAGAGAAGATAATAATGAGAGTAGAGTTTAAAACTGGGATCTCAGTTCACAGATAAATGCTTCTTCTTGCGTGCTTTGCTGAGGGTAGAAGATACTTCCAAAGATACAGCAGGAGCCAGGTGCTGTCTCCTCTTCATTAGCTGAATGCATTTATGGTATTGCTGGATCTTCAGGGTTTGAATAAGCTATCTACCAATGCAAATGCAGTAGAGTTTAAGTCATTTTTAAGTTCAAGGTTCTTCTGTTTCATCTGCCAAGAAATTCAGCAGAACCTGTTCTAGTGGGCAAAAACTAACATGGGCGCTAATTATTACAGAAAGCAGCTCATACACACTTAGCTCATATGATGATATATTATCTTTCTGTTGCCTTTGTTTCCTTCCACTATTCATTTTGGTCCAGCTACTGCCTGTAATCATCAGTGCAAAAGAGCTAGCTTTTATGAGAGAAATGATAACCAGACATTCCAGATAGCTGACTTAGAGAAACCAGCCTTGCACTCTGAAAAATGCATGCTGAAGGGTTGAACTTGACTGCAAAATGCACCAAAAATTGAGTCAATGGCTTATGTCAGTAATTTGACTGAAACAGACTCAGACCCTAATTAGTATACTAATTACTTCACATTTCAAACTGAAGTAACCAGATGATTTTGAGGAATAAGAGAAATGGGGCAAAAATCAAAATACTGTCAGTTAATATCTAACTAATAATACAAGCCTCTGCTCCAGACTGTATGTTCATTAGCTGAAAATAACTGAGGTTAAAATAATTGTGTGCAGCAGTTGGTCACAGGGTGACAATGAATCATGAATATAGTGTTGGTGATGAGAAAGGCAAGCGTGACCATAGCATGCATCAAGAGGTATTTAAAATAGAAATAATGCTATTGTATAAAATTCCAGTAAGCCTTTTTGGAAGTGCATTGTGCTCTTTGGGGATGACAGTATCTAAGGAAGATGATGTCATACTTGAAACAAGGACAAAGAATAGCTTAAAGCTTAAATTGTTCAACTCTTCTCAAAGCACTCCGTGGTACTTGGTCCCCTTGGGACAGGCAGCTCCTGTCCATTCTGACTTGAGTGGGAGTAGCCTCCTGACTTAGTAACTAGTTCTCCACCATTTATGCCAGCACACAAATAAGCACTTCTAGCAACAACTAGTCCGCCTTACACACTCCAGAATGTGCCGCACACAGCATGGAAGCCCCTACCTGACACAGAGTCTAAGCTCCAGCTTTGCAAAGCTGTCAAGATGTGGTGCCTACTCTTCCTGTCTTTTCTGTTTCTGAAAAAGCAAGCAGTTTGGAGGCACAAGCTCAGGATCATTCACATCCTAAGCAACAGAGCAAGATGGTACACAGAAGCATGGCTGGTGCATGACATGCTCACATTTCCCTTCACAGGCATTTTCTTGGCATGTGCCTGTGCTCCATGCCATTTCACCCGTGTAGAGGTTTCAGCTGAAAGACAACCATGCATTTGTTCTCATCCTTGTGTTTTCCACCCTTTAGGCTTGTCTGCTTGTCTTTAGGCTTCTGATGGGCACAGAAGGAATGTTATAGAGTCAAAGCAAAGCAAGAGTTACATTGATGGAGAATGACTTACCCCCTTTTCCGCTTGGTTCTGTACCTTCATCTCATATCCTCAACAAGACTGCAGATACTACCTCTTTCATCCTGATATCCAGTAACGTGCCTGGAAAATCTGTCTTAAGTGGCACCCTAACTGGAAAGTGAAACATATGACCTTAAAAAGCTACCAAAGTCTAGACAAAATTTTGGAATATCTTTTTATGGGTAAGGATGAGTTTGTAGCAAGGCCTCTTCTGGAACTGAATATAGTGAAGAGCGAAAAGTCCACAAGGGTTCTCAGTTATGTGTGCTGAAACCACTACATCACTGAGGTTTTTGTCTTCTAGGATAGCAGAAAGTAGGGGTGAAGGCAGGGGTAAATTGTTAAGCACATGGCATTTAAAAAGTGTTGGCGTAGTAGCTGGTCCAAATGGAGAAAGTTATGGGAAGCAGGATCATGATGAAGGCTGTGTACAAAAGTTACCAAAACAAAAAGTTGACAGCGCATTCCTATATGTACTGCTGTAGTTACACGTATTGTGACCTGTTTGTTAGTGAGCCCAGCTTCAGTGTAAGGTGTTGGTTTGTTTCTGGGTTTCTGTCACTGCCAGTTTGTAACATGAGATGTTCTAGACACAATCGCTGAACAACTCACCTTTACTTGTGTGTGAGAACAGGATGAGACCAGAGGTGGTAGGAGTCATCTTGAATTTTTGGAGTGCTTTAGTTCTGCATAATTGTGGTGCTCGTTTACTGCTGCAGAAGATTTCCCATTATAAGAAGTAGTATATATCCTAAGTACACATTTACATATTCTCTCTTCCTATACCCCTTTAACATACAAGTTGAAACATCCATTAATGCTATGCTTCTAATATATGTATAATATTCTAATGTATGCTGCATCATTCTTACTGGTTTTACCTATGTCGTGTTTCTTCAGCTAAGAGCAAAGGATGCATCTTGGCCAAGCCTGGAAATAAAGACAGTTCCTCAAGCCTTTGAGTCTGTAGCCTGAGAGACTGAGTTGGTGATCTGCGTCTGACAACATGCGTAAGAAAACCCAGTCCATGCTGCAAAAGGCTGTGAACAGAGGCCCAGTGGTTGCTCCTAAGAATATTGGTAAGTATGTGGACCTCTTCCTGTTGCAGAATGACTCTAAGAGCAGGACCATAGAGTTCTGGAGGACTGTGCAAGCAAGGCAGGGGGTGGCCCCCACAGGTAGCCGGAGACCAGACCTGGGAGGAGAATGTGGAGGAAGCTGTGGGGGGCTAACCAATACTGTTGTGCCAAGAAGGAGTGGCTGAATACCACTCCTATATATGTGTGAACTGCGTCACAAATAAAGTAGAAGTTGCTTATCACCCATATTGGGTTGGCCTGTCTGCTTCTCCTCGCCGCTTACATCTTCCAAACACTGTCTTCTATCCCTGGCCTGAAGGGTAGGCAGCTTCTCTTTATTTTATTTATTTATTTATTTATTTCAGGCAGCATTGTTAGCTTGTTCTTGCAAAGCTAGCCTTAAACAGTGGTATTTCCACTGGCATATCTTCTCATATTGCTGCAGGGAAATCTCCCCAGAGGCAAACCCCTGCCCATAACCAAAGCCATGGCCCTACAAACACTTATCAGGACATTCCTCTCTGCTCTCACCACACTTCGTGAGTAATCCATGCAAATGAGCAGGCTGATTCACTGATCTAAAGATGTATCTTTTTATAGTGTGTCACGGATTATGTTGAATAATGAGCATTGAGGAACTGGGTAGAAGGCAAACCTGAAATGTTTAACAAATAGCCATAGGGAGTATCCTTGGGGATCTGTTGGTGTGAGGAAGATCTGGCACAACTTGTTTGTGTTATGTAAACAGGATCTGAATTCCACTCCTGTTTGCACTCAGGTTTCTCTTCTCCAGTGCAGCCATGTCTGAGCAAATATATATATATCTCTATAAAATAATATATATATATATGCATAATGTTAATGTGCTCATGAACCTAGGTGTAAAACCAGGTATGTCAGCTCAGTAGTAGGAACACAGGCAAAGTTAATCAGGGAACAGAACAGTCTAGTAAGAGACTATAAAAATATGACTCATTTTAACACAAATGTACACATCCAAAACACCTTCCAGGCAGGCTAGCTGCTCTGTGAAGGAGTGATGGGTAATTCAATAGATAGCATAGACCATCAGTCACCCAGGCAGTTGTTCTCCATCATTTTTGTGTTATTTCATTCTCAGATTACCTTCACTTCAGAAAAAATACTACTTAAGATGAACATTGCAGTACAGCCTGAAAAGAACCTGTAAAGGTCAGGACCTTTAAAAAGATAACAGAAAAATCTGAGCTTTTCAAGAGAAACAGGTGAGCTTCTGTTATCTCTTCAAGTCCTTTGAAATGCAAAGTATGTTTTTCTTTCTCCTTTTTTAAGGGGCAGGGGTGAAGTTAAAGGTAAAATTATGATTTTTCAATGGCTCACCATTATGACTACTCATGATTTGGCTTTTTATCTGAACACTCAAAAGAGCAATTTCCATTTTGCAGTGCAGCTTCTGCAAAGTTGTGCCTACTTCTGCACAAACGAAATTAATCTGCCTCCCAAACTTCCTGTTTCTCTATAGATTTATTTCAGTGGTCAGAGACATGAAAGCTACTTTAGAGCAAAAGTCCCCAGAAGTTTCTCTTGCAGCAAAGACCAAGCCTACAACCTGGAAAGTTAAAAATAAAGAAGGTAAAGTCAAAGTTTATTTCAGAGTTGTCATAGCGTCTTATGTGTAGATTTTGCTTATGTGTAGCTTCCACAGGCATAACAAAATATTGTTACAATTTGTACCAGAATGCATAATAAGTTTTTCTAGCTTCACAGGGTTCCAGAAGGAAGCCATTAGACCTTCTAGTCAGGATCATAAACCCAAGGCAGTAGGAGAATTATTTTGTATATGAGCCTAGCCTGACGTGCAAGTAGGACCTATTCTTACTGTTTACCCTGAAGAGATACCTTCTGTAAGTAGGGATTAAGGTGATGTGGAACATGCATCAGCATAGCACTTCATTTCCCGAAAAAATAATAATATTGGAGAATACAGTTCCTCTGCATGCCCTTTTTTTTGCCTTAGCATACTGCTAGTATTGCATTTACTTACTTGCTTGTGTGTGGGAAGAAATTCCCTGCAGGCAGGGAAAGAAAATCAAGCTATTTGTGCCCTATCTCATTCTGCGTCTATAGCCTGATCCAGCCAGCGCATGGCTCTCTAATAACTTCCTCACTAACAAGGTGAGATCTAATTTTCCTTTGCCTCTCAAAATACCAATCTAGCAGGCAGGAGCTGACCTATGTTATTTCTTCAAATTCCTATATACAAGATACAGTTAAGCTAAGTGAGCCTTTGCTTACAGAATCCTAAAAGCTTTAATGGGTTCAAAAGGCAATGGGCATATTTACAGAAGAGAAGTAGATCAACAGGTACTAAATGCAAGACAGTGTCTCTGGCTCATAAAGCCCCTGAGCCACAAAACCGTTGGTGTCTGGGAGTACATTCTGCAGAAGCAGTGGAATGTGCTTCCCTGTTCCGACACTCTTCCTTAGTGCTCTGTTCTTTGGCCACTGGATAGAGACAGGGTGCTGAGCTGGGTGGGCTTTTGGTCTGACCAAGTTCTTGTTTTTATTTTCTTTCTGGTCTAGTGAATAATAAAAATGAGTAAACTTAGCATTATAAACTTTAAAAATTACATAAAATCACTTCATATTTAATTACATAAAATCCCTGACCAAAGAGGCTGTATTTGTGAACTGTAAGAGAATACAAATTAGAGGTGAGAGAGTAAAGCCTTATTAGTCAATATTATTGATGATACTACCATTGTAACTAAGTTTGTAATGTGATACTGCATGTGTCATCAAAGAAAGCAATACTGCTGGCATTTATTTTTGCTGTGAGGACTGAGACAGATGCATCTATCATTATTTGGGGGATATTTTATCTATAGAAATCTACAGCTGGCCTTTTCTGTCAAATGTAAACCTCAGACTTTTAAAGGGAACATTTTAGCTTCATTTTTGCTGTAATCACTATTTAGGATCCCCACTGACTGGTAAATTAATTCCTAGAAACAGTGCAGGGGAAAACCTTTTATTCTTTGGGTGTTCCTTGGATAAAATTTTCCTCCCCTAAATATAGGGTGAGTTTAAGGCAGAGGACTTCTGTCTTAATCTTTGCTGGATGGACTGTAAAGGCTATTGCATTTAAAGAGGTACATGCTATTCCCCTGGTTTCTGCTGAGAGGAAGAGAGGAGACAAAGAAACCTCTAATAGGTTATTTTTGTACATTCATAACTATAGCCAATCATTAGTCCATGGTGTTACCCCATTTATCCGAGAAGTTTAACAAAGGCTAAAGTAGGTCAGGACACGTGAGCTTGTATGTGACTGCCAGAGAAGGCTCTGTAGATAGATGAAGATGCGTGGCCAACAGAAGCCCCACAATTTTTCTGTGTGCAGGACCACCTTGATAGGTCTTGTTCGACTAGCTGTCATCTTTATTCCAACATCAACACATAAGTTTCTGACCACATCCCCCTTTCAAAGACAGCAGAGATCATTCTTTGCACACTGATCACTCATGATTTAGTCTGGTCAGTGGGCAGTTAGCGTAGGCTAACTCATCTGTATGATAAAGATTTGTAACCACATTAGGCATCCTGTCTCTATCTAGGGGCCTCACAGACATCTTGAAGATCACTGTTAGTTCTTCTTGACTCTTCAGCCTGTAAGGAAACTGCAATTAAAATGTGATTTCTAATCTAGGTGGACTCCTAATCCAGTGCCTTTTCTGATTTCAGTATTTACCAGGATGTTCTTAAAGCTGGTGATGTAACCCCTAGAAACCTAATTTAAGGTCAACACCCATACCAGGTCAAGACCTTAATTTGAGTTGGGTGACTCATTCTGCCAGCCCTCCTAAGCTTTGTTTCATAGCCAACAAGAAAACTTTAATCCATTTGCTTAATGGTCTCTGCAAGAGCTAACTGCAATCCTGACTCTGGAACTACACAACTGGATCTAATCTGCTATCTTGCTTCCACCTCTGTGTGAAAAGTAATCACTGCTCCAGGCTGAAACAAGACAACTCTTAGCCCACCAATACTTTTCTAAGTTTACTCTGTTTACCCATGCTGATAGCTCACAGGTAACCAACTTCCTTCCTGCTGTCACAAACTTCCATAGCCACCAGACTGACATTTGATTACTGGTTAGTCATGAACCTGGGACACATGGAGAAAGCTAGCTCTTAAGTGTTGCTAGCAACCTCCTTCTCTACTGATCAAGGCTCATTTGCACAGTGTCAGACTAGAAGTTCTGGAACATGCTCATCATACTTGTCCCTCCAGTATGAGCAAAAGTGCTCATGCATTCTCAAATGAGCAGGTTTCTGCAGCGCATGAGAAAATCACTGCTGTAGTAGTCACCTTCTGTTTCAGACTGGCTTTGCACAGCTCTTTTATGTTACCTCTCTCCAATGTTCATGTTCTTTTAAGTTCAAAGGCCTGGTATCTCTGAGCAACTGCTGTATGTCGTATACAGCCTCAGCTAGAAGGACTTGCACAAAATTGAACAGGGAGGTGGCACACATACGAACTTGCATGCTAATGAGACAATAGATTAAAATACCTTTAGAGAGGGGAAAAAGGAGAACATGGGAAATGGCAGACCTACTGGCTTCATGACAGATTAAATAATGAAAAAGGTTTGGATTAATCAAGAAAATTATAGATCAAAATATAATGAATCTGTCAGCTAGGTTTAGTGGGGATAATAGGTCTTTTGAACCTGTTGCTGCTTCAGATAAGATTAAAAGTCTGCCTGAGAAAGGCAACTGTGTTTGTTCAATCCTATTTATTAGTTTTACAGGTGATCTAAGCAATATTACAGACTTTGTGTGGTAAAGTTTTCAGATTCTGTGCCTTTACATACAAGTTTAACAATGTAAAAAATATTTATGAATTATTAACAGTAAATACTATGGCATGAGCCAAATAATTGTGATTATGATGACCATTTAAAAAGTCAGATCTGTTCAAGTAACAGTTTGGCTTTGTGTTTTGAATCGTTTCTACCTGAAAAGGAAATATTAAACAAAATGAGTGTGTAAAAATTGCTTCTTGGCTTCTGTTGGCCAAAGGGGCAGAAGTTATGCAGTGGACTGTGCTATATCACTTACGGAGAGTGCAGGTCCTGATAGCTGCCATTTCACTGACTGGTCATCGAGTTTTGAATAGTCTCCAGAACAGAAGAAGTTAAACCAATGCAGAAAAAAATGCACAGGAAAAGTAATGCATATAAGAGAAATACTTCTACAGAAATGTAAGCTTGATGTGTGGTAAATACTTCAGTTGCAATACAGTCTACTCTGCGGAAGTAAATTGTCCATTACACAAGGTAGCAATGCTAAAAAACTTTATATACTGTTTGTGTGCTTCACTGAACACCCAGTAGTGTTGATACATGTGTAGCAACTTGGTGATTATTCTGTTGAAGCTTCTCAAATAGCATTTTCGTTACTGTCTGAAAGCCCCATAGCGAATAGCACAATTAAACCCCAAATGGACCAGAAAGTTAACTTTAAAAGGACCAGACCTGAGCTCCACCCCAATCTAAGTGCTGTTTGGAACTTGCCCTAAACTCATATGTCTGGAATAAATATAGAAAGCTGTTTAAATGTTAATCATTAATAAATCATCAAGCCAATAGTAGTCATGTCTTTTAAAAATAATTGTCAGCCTAATTCTTCCCTTCATTTAATTTTGCCACACCTGTAAGAGCTATGCTGTTACTGACAAAGCTTGTATTTCTACTTGGTTTTTATGCTTGCTGCTAGACTGGTGAGCCCAGATTATACAATGCAGACGTTTTTATAATCTAAATAAATCTTCCTGCCAAAAACCTATATGTACTCTTGCAGTTTCTACATAAAGTTGTAGCAGCAAAAGTAGTATGACAGCATGGGCTTTACCCAACCACCATTAAAATGATGACAAAACTGTTGACTGCTTAAATACATGCATTCATGTTAACAAAATTTGTCTGGGTGATGTCTGTTTTCTGTTACTGAGATTTCTCCTTTCATATTTAGCAAAGGTTTCCAAGTGGTTTTGATGTGGTTTCTATGAAACCTAAATTTCAGCTATACTGTATCTTCTCTAGATGTGCACATTTTTCTCCTTCTAATAAGCATTGTTTAAAAGCAAGAGGAAAAAAACACATGCTTTGTAGTTCCAAGCTTGACACCAGTCCTTACATTTAGATGTGCAAGATGCTGCCAGTTAATTCATCAGCAGTATCTTGTGTCCCCATGAGCAGTAGCATCTTCTGATGCTGAGTTTTGAACTCTCTTTCCATGTCCTTATTGGAGTTGAGATGTGGTGTGCCTTCCATTCCTAATCAGGTCTTGGTACCTTGCTGATACCTTTGCTGAAAAGCCCTCACTTCATAAAGTGTGGTAGGGGAAACTCTGTATTGAAAACATCTGGTCTACTGGTCAGGCTGTATATAAACGGATTATTTTTTGGCTTAATGTGTCTGCTTGCAAATTAGAAGACTACTGTTAATACTCTGGCTAACCACATTATAGTGGCGATTCAGATAACCTATTTAGCATTAGGTCCATATGGCTGCATAGGAGCAAAAATTGCTAGTATCAGACGTTCTTGTTTACTGATACTGATCCTTTCCCTATTCCAATATTCAATATGTTTTCAAGAAAGGCAGCTAACTCAGCACCCACCATTTGATTAAAAAATTATAGCAACCAGAGGTGCTCCTTACTATAAGATCTTGTAAACAGCCTTATGAATAGCGTGGGAGTTAAAAACAGGATGCTCTGTCATTACTACAAAAGAGAGAGTCGTTTTTCCCTTCTGTGCCTCAACCTGTCATCTGTGCAGTGCAGAGAGCAACTGTGATTGTTTTCACATTGAAAACTATATTAGTAGCTACAGAGAGCTTGAAGGGCCTCCAGTGAGCTCTGTAAGCCCAAACTTAATCAAAACCAAGTTACTTTGACTCCACTGTAATCCATAGTCTTTCTACTAAATCCAGAGGAAGGAAGATTGGGATATTAGATCATAGATGATTTAATATGATGCACAAAAATGCCCAATACAATGTCACAATGCTGATATTCCATGTGCTTGGCTCTATGTAAATTACAAATTCTGTGATTGTTAATGTTTGAAACTTCTAGAAGATTCAGTATGGCTAAAGAAATAATTGGAAGTGGAATTAAGAATTGGCTGCTGTTGTTTCAGCTGTAGGTGAGAAACAAAAAAATTGCTCTCAGTAGTAGTATTTGTTCTTAGTTTGCAGTGCAACTCCATGGGAAACATCTAAATTGCAACTAGAAAGATTATATTTGATATTTAAAAAAAATAATAATGGAAGATGTTTTATGTAAAAAATATTACTATAGATATTATACATTAAATACTGTGACGTTACATAGCATTTTATGCTTTATAAATTTAAACAGCTATCTGAATGCTTCTAATGTTTTCCATTGACTCCAGTACTGAAAGGTCAGGTCTAACCTAATCAATCATTACAGCATTGTTGACAGGTATTCCTCACTCTTGGACACAAAGCTGAGGCAGAAAATCATCTGATAAAGGCCAAAGAATGAGTCAATAGCAGACTTCAGATTGAAACCCCCAAGTTCTTGCTTCCTGGTTTCATTCTTAATCATAAATTATCTTGTAACTGCTAAAAATGGAGGAGGCTAGTAATTTAATTACAGTTAGGCTTCTCACATTCATTTCTATGGTTTCTAAAAATCGATTAGTTTAAAAACACTAAAGGATGGATATCCTCTGATTCTGATTTCTAATGTGAAAATGCAACCTGAAAATTAAATAAAAGTATTAACATGCAAGAAAAGGCACAGATGGTAGTGCCACTATAGAAAAAAATAAAAGAGATTAGAAGGTTGATTCTGAAGCCTATCTCCCAGTAACTGCAGTCAGGAGCCCTGCATGCCAGCTGGCTGTGCTGGCAGCTCAGCAATGCAACTGTTTCAGTACCAGGTTGTGGTGACGAGTAGCTCTCATGGAAGCCTTTCATTGACATTCAGAGCATGGAAATACCACTGTTTCTTAAAGATCTATGCTTTTGCTCCTGTGGCTTCAAGAGAAAAAAAAAAAAAAAAAGTGACTCATCTAATTGATGAAATGGTATTTCATAGAACCACAGACTGGTTTGGGTTGGAAGGGATCTTAAAGCTCATCCAGTCCAAACTCCCTGCCGTGGGCAGGGACACCTTCCACTAGAGCAGGTTACTGCAAGCCCCTGTGTCCAACCTGGCCTTGAACACTGCCAGGGATGGGGCAGCCACAGCTTCTCTGGGCACCCTGTGCCAGCACCTCAGCAGCCTCACAGGGAAGAGCTTCTGCCTAAAAGCTCACCTGAACTTCCCTTGTTTAAGTTTGAACCCATTACCCCTTGTCCTGTCGCTACAGTCACCTGGTGAAGAGCCCCTGTCTGGCTGCACAAGTGGTGGAAGGTCACTGAATGATGATAGTTGTGCAATGCTTTTCTGAGCTTCAGATCTCGATTGCAGTTGATTTAAAAAAAAAAATCCTACAGAGAGGTTCTGTAATTAACCTTGAAGAAAAATGGATATTCTTCACACACACCTTGGGGCTCCACCTGCAACGCAGCTCAATGGGTCTGCTGTTAAAAACCACAGCTAAAGCAGCCAGCCGTGGACTTTAGGACAAGAGGGTAATGGCTTTAAGCTGCACCAGGAGGTTCAGACTAGATATTAGGAACAATTGCTTCCCCAGAGGGTGCTCAGGCATTGGAACAGGCTGCCCAGGGCAGGGCTGGAGTCACCGTCCCTGCAAGTGTTCACACACCGTGGAGACAAGGCCTCAGTGCCATGGGTTAGTGGTGGCCTTGGCAGTGCTGGGGAACGGTTGGGCTTGATGATCTTAAAGGTCTTTTCCAACCCGGTTGATTCTATGGATCTATGACTCGCCACCACCTGTAGGGACCCCCTCGTCGGCGCTCGGTGGTTGCCCGCTGTGGAGGCGCTTCTGGGGGCACGGAGCGCTGACATCCCGGGCGGCGCCGGCAGAGGGCGCCCGAGAACCTCTCCACGTGACTTGCGCCGCCCCGCCGTGGCCACGCCCCGCGGAGGCCGCAGCGAGGGAGGCCGGTGGCGGCGAGGCGGTAGCGCCGGGCCGGCGGCCGCGCCACGGCGGGGCTGCGAGCGGCGGGTCCCGGGCTGGCTGCGGCGCGGAGTGCACCGGGGCAGGATGTCGCGGTCCGTGCTGCAGCCGAGCCAGCAAAAGCTGGCGGAGAAGCTCACCATCCTGAACGACCGGGGCGTCGGCATGCTCACCCGCCTCTACAACATCAAGAAGGTGCGGGGGCCCCGGCGGGGAGGCGGGGGGTGGAACCGCTCCGGCGCGATCTCCGCCGCCGCTGCCTCCCCGCCGGGCCCTAGCCAGCCCGGCGCTCCGCCGACATTGCGCGGCTTGCGGCTGACCCGGCCGGGCTGCGGCCTAGCGGCGGGGCCCGACGGGCCGGGCGGGGAGCTGCCGGGGCGGTCGGGAGCTCCGACCCGGCACGACGCTGCGCCGCCTGTGGGTCGGCGAGGGGCGCGGCCGGGGCTTCGCTACTTGGCGGGCGGTAGGAAGGGAGGCCCGGTGCTGCGGAGCGCCCGCAGGCCTGGCTTCCCCCGCTGCGGGGACTAGGCCAGGCCTGTTCCCCGAGACAGCCGGTGCCGCCCGGAGCCGCTCCCGGCCCCGCCAAGCGTGAGTCACGGGAGGTGGGAGTGGGCTGCTCGGCACGGGCTTTCCCACGCCGCGTTGAGACACCGAAGGGAAGGATTTGGGGTAAAATTAGTAAGTTTAATTTCAATAAGTTCGAGGCGCGCGGTTGCTTAGCAGCTCCTGGCGTGAGATGGAGCAGATGTTTGAAGCTGCCGTGGGTGCCAGAGCTGCTCCCCTCTTTCCCGAAATGGAGAATATCGGAGTTAGCCTAGGTGAGGTGGTTCGGTAGGTCTCGGTAGTGACGGGGAGGACGGGGTACGCCTCCCAGCTTGGTTAATTTCTCTTCCGGAGGGTAATCGGTGTGCTTTCCCATAGGGAAGAACGTAGTTCATGGCCAGCCCCTGCTCCGGGTCCTTCGTACATCCTTACAGGCTTAATTTTCCTAACGTGCTATCCGTCATCTGAATGTGTACAGCTGCTCAATCCACTTACAGCAATGGATAGGTTAGGAATTTATTGTTTTGATTTGAACGCAGTTATTTCTGAGAGTTTATTAATTTAAAGAAAATATTAGTTATTCCACTCAAGCAGTGAGCAGGTTTAGCCTGTTACAATTTTTGTTCCATTCACATGCTGCACTTGTAGCAATAGCAGAGAGAGAAGGCTTAGGTGTTTACCTGATTACTTCTGAAGCCAGGCTTCTGCCAGGGGTCATCCTGCCAAACAGGTCTGACCTCAAGGATGTGCTTTGTCAGGTTGCTTTGCTCATATGGGAGACTGGCACTCCAGAAGCAGTAAGAGCTACTTAGCTGTACCAGGTGCAGGGTTGATTTTAATTAAGGTGGTGTTTACAGGAAATAAAAGAAATGATTGAAGTATTCAGAAGTCAGTGTTGATCCAAAGCAATGTCAGTAGTTTATGTACACTTGAGGTATTTTGCAAATCTTCACTGACAAAAATAAATTATTTAAACTAAATTATTTCTAATTCCTGTCTTTCTGAAATAGAAGCGAGGTCCCTTTTAGTTTGTGGTTTTGTATGCTTAATAATTGTTAAAAGTGAGATTCTCTTGTTACATAAAACAAATTCCTTATTTATGGAGGAAGTAAAATCAGGAGAGTCATTTGCGTGTGCGCTTGTTCTGCTTTGAGAAAAATACCCCAGATGAAGAACAGGCTGAGCACAGCAGGGTTTGGGGGGGAGAAGGCAGGAAACAAGACAGGAAGAATCATACCTCGTCTTGATATACAGCTGTGTCTTACCCATTTTGGGCTCTTATTTTCATAACCAGTGTTCTGATTTGGGA